TCTAGCAAAGCTCTACATCAAAACCCCATTACACACCTCACTTCTTACATTTGTGCATTTTGGTAAAAGCCACTGTTCTACTCGCGATGCTTGAGCACAGCAAGGAAGTGGAGGGAAAAAAAGCAGGACAGAACTCAGAGTGGTCCTACTTAGATCTGCAAAGAAATCTTGGTTTAATATGGCTGGTTCTTTGCTTTCCACCTTCAAACTGCCCTAAAGTGAGAGTTGTGCTGTGTCGAATTTTACTAAAGCACTGCAAGCCACAAACACATAGAACAGTAACAGCAGCCAGAATACAGGACCTGGGTTAGATGTGTCAAGAAGAGCATATCATATAGCAAAGACATGGTTAAGAGCGTAACCAGCAGCAAGACGTGTGATGAAGACTGTGAAACAGGGACAGCCAACTGGATTCATCTGCTCAATCTAATCTGCAGAAATCACTGACACGAAAGTGACACTTTCTCCCACTACTGCTGCTTTGAACCTTCGCACGAGCGTCTCTCTACCATGAAAGTATCACTGTCCACTTACATCCCTCTTTACAGCTTTCACTATGAGCTGTAGGTACGTACATCTCATACAACGGAAAAGAAATCCAACTCAGCAGTACGAACCTGCTTCTCTGTTTCCCTTTTTCAAAAAAATGCATAAGACGACAGATCTAGGAAGTTAAGTTAATGCTAACAAGCTTAATTTCAGCTGAAGCTGTTTGAACTGCACTCTTTGATACATTTTAAGTGCCCTACATATTTTCAGTGCTTTGGAGACACTTCAGTTGCTTTGCAGCAATTTGCTGGAAAATTAAAGAAAAGCAGTAGGGCCCAAGTGAAGAGGAAGAAAACAGAAGAACAAACACATCCCTTTGGCTTTCAGGATACAAGACTAAACTCTTTAGAGGAGAAAAAAAACAAATTTGTTTTCGATCCAGGCAAAACTGACCTTCCTGCCGAAGTCTGACATGCTAAAAATCACTATTAGCCTTAAATCTTGGCATTTTATCCTTTCTCTTACACCTGTCTGTCATATTTCCAAAAAGAAAACTACACACAAATCAGAGGTGCTTAATTTTGTGCATTATAAAGGATGCAAAAAAGAGCAGAAATTATGGAAAAGGTAATCACTATTTCAGTCCAGCAAAGAAATAGGCTCATAGTTTTTCACTGCTACCCATCAGTTCGATTAAACAAGATGAAAAAAATCCAGTATTTACTCTGTCTTACAGCACTGAGTTTTAGCAAAGCTTACAAATTCCAAACAAAAAATAAAGCAAGATAAAAAACTGCAGAAAAGGGGATATTTCTAAATACTTCATAAATAATATATAAATAAAATATTTGCAAGTATGAAATGAGAGGTGTTTAATACCACTTAAACAATGACTTTGCAAATACTATCAGTAAGAAAAGCTTTAGCATTATTCTGTTATCAAATACAACGGGACTATCCGTGTCATGTTTCAGCTAGAAATACTTACATTGTGATAATTGATCATTTCCTGTAAGGTGTCAGAGAACTTTGTCAAGCTGGTCTGGAAAGAGAAAAACAAAGTGGTTTAATTTAAGCGCTACCAACTACACAGCATGAAAGCAATGCTTCAGAGGTTTACAGCTTTTCAGTAGAGAACTTCAGAATTGGTTTTCCTTAGTTTGATTATTAAACTAAAGCCATTACGCTAGAAGGAGAACATGGGGTAATATCAAGTAAATCTATCCTAGTTACAAGCAACAAAAATGTTACTGTGACCTACCTATACATAAAGTACCAAACTGAAGCAAAGCGGAAAAATTCAAATTAAGTTGACAAAACTATGGGAAGTTCACATAATTTAACACATTAATTTAAAATATTTATTACTACACTACTTAACATTTATTAATGTTTAACACTAACTCCAAAAACCTGGTTAACATGTTGCAGTCATTAGTACACACAGATTTACTGCAGGAACTACTGCCTCACAGCTGATGTGCTTAACAACACTGACATCAGTTAGAAAACAATGATCCCTAATATATGTGGATAACTGCTTATTGCTTACACACCAAGTGTAACAAAAACCTACTTGGAACCACATAATGTAAGCTTTACTAGTTTGCCACGGCACTGCATTTCTAGCAAGTAAATTTCCAGACAACAACAGTTTCAGCTGCACACAGACTACACTGAGGTTCACTATCGCAACTAGTGTGAGAAGATGCACACATGCAACTGATGTTCTGTTACGTAACACACATGAAATATAGATGATATAGAGATGTGCACATAATTATAATTGTGTATTACACAATTTCATAACTCATTTCAAAGTAACATAGACATGAAATAATAGGTGTTCCAAATTAGCCTAACAAGACATCAGTCTGAGGTTACACCATCAAAATGGGCTCTGTATATTTACAAATTTAAATTTCTATGTATTAGAAAGTGACAGACAGTTCCAGGACTCAAGAGATCAACTCAGAATTTAGTTGCAGAGAACTGGCTCTTAGGATCTCATGACTAAAATCCCTTTATTTAGCAAAGTAAACAGGGCAGCCGTTCACAGCTTCAACCTGACTTTATCCACCCCTCCCAAGATGATTATTCCTAACCTTATACATATTTTCTACAATTTGGAAAACCCTTGCCGTTGCAGGTTAAAGCTGAAACTAAACAACACAGACACATGCAGTGCACCAGTGTCACTCTTGAGACATCTCAAGAAAAAGGAACAAAAGACAAATAATAGTATAAGCTTCAAATACTTCACTTATTATTAGATTCTACCCTTTTTAAGTTACGCTTTTATACTTCCATTTTCACTTCTTAAAGAACTTACCTCAACCAACACATCTTTACAGGAATATTGTGCAAGGTCTCGAATTCCATTCATGAACTGCTTGTTGGCTGTACAGAACGCTTTCCCAGTATCAATCATTGCAATACAAAGCTTCACCAGCTAAAAAAAGGAAAAAGTGACAAAGTGCAAGTTTTTGTTTTGTTTTTTTACACCACCATAGAAACATGAAACACATTCAGCTTAGCTAAGTCTAAGAAAAAGATTTCAAAAGTTAAATTCTAAGTTTACAGAGCCCCACATTCTATAAGAAGTTTTCTACTGTATAGTGATAGCTATAAAAATACTACTCTAGGTCAACTGATATGCCATTGAGAAGGTCACTACTTTTTTTTTTTTTTGATTATTTTTTATTTGTTTTACTGTTAACTGAGATTTCGGGCATATTTCAAGAGAGGGGGATGTATGAGGGCAAAAAGCAGAGCAACTGAAATATAGATGGTTAGAACCCAAGCAAATAATCAGGGTGTTATGGTTCCTGAGCCAAAAAAGGCCAGAAGAAACCCACACCAGTTGTTTCACCTTAAGACACTCGGAATACAGGCACAGGAAAGTGAAAGGCTATCTGCACAAAGCACAACCAAAGAGAGATAGATGGTTACAGCTCAGAAGGTGAAATCAATCATGCTTCCACTCACACAACAGATCAGTCTTTCTCTGATGGGTTTCCATCCCTATCCCTCACTGCTTAGGGCAGGACCTTAGCTCTCATGGTACTACAGAGTCTGATACCAAGGCCACCAGTATCTTGTGATGGGTGTTCTCCCACTTTTTGAACCATTTACGCACTGCGCTGTTAATGAAAGAGAGAAGGATCAGTATGATCACTAAGACACTCTCTTGAGAAAAGGCATAGCATAATTGCATTCCCCCACCCTAAACCAAACTGAGAATAAAATCAGACAAACTTCATCTCTCAAGGATTTTTCAAGGATGTTAGACAAATTTTCATGAAGAACAACATACTTGATCCTATGCTGCGGCAAGGAAATGACCCAAGCAACCTTCCTGCCTTATTTACCCAGTAATTTTTATGTTGACTCAGATCCTCTTATGAAAAGCAGAAATCTGAGCGCCATCTCCACATTCTGATGAATGGCAAAGTTGCTTGAGCAACAGACAGAAAAATCACTACCAACATGATCCTTTTTTTCCTTCACTTTTGCTTATGGTTCACAATCTGGAACTCACCATCCTTTCTTCCAGAGGAGAAAAAAAATGCAGACAATGTAGCCCAAAGTCACAATTGTGGGACAATAAAACTAAGTTTAGTATGAATAACTGGGCAGAAACAGTTACCAGCCACGTCTAGACAAATCACTACCCTCAGGCCGTGGTTAATTCAGCTCACAGAAGTAGCTCGGCTTTCAACTTAAACTTGTATTACCTCACTTCTACTTCACACTACAATTAGAGTACTTAAATACTTCCCTTGTGTATTTTCGTTCTTGTCAGGGAGCAAATGGGTTTGGATGCTTTTGTTTTAAAGAGTACTAGGATACTGTCTCAGGGCCAAGCGTAATCAGAATCATAGAATGGTTTGGGTTGGAAGGGACCTTTAAAGGCCACCTAGCCCAACCCCTTGCAATGAGCATCTACCACTAAACCAGGCCGCTCAGAGCCCCATCCAACCTGACCTTGAATGTTTCCAGGGATGGGGCATCTACCACCTCTCTGGGCAACCTGCCTGACCACCCTCATCGTAAAAATTTTTTTCCTTACATCTAGTCTAAATCTATTCTCTTTTAGTTTAAAACTATTACCCCTTCTGCTATCACAACCCACCCTGCTATAAGGTTTGTCCCCTTATTTCTTTTAAGCCCCCTTTAAGTACTGAAAGGCTGCAGTAAGATCTTAATTACAGCTTATAGATGATAGAACAGTATATTTGGCACTGGCCTCCTGCGAGAGGCTGGGGGCAAGGCCCTGAATAATGCCTCGTAAAGAATTTGAGAATTCTTTTCCTGAAAAAGGACCCCTTTAGACTGGTGGAAAAACACAAACTTCCATGACAGATTATTCAGATCCTTTAAATACTTACATGGCTTAATCTACCAAAACAGACTCATCACCCCTACAGCAGAAGTGTGTCTTACACCCATCAGTTTTGCCAAAATTCACACCAAAATTAAGTATCTTAGTTTTATTTCAAAAGAGTAAATGGTTATATTATTAACCACAAAAGCTGGAAATATTATTACAAGAAGTAACAACAAGTCTTCTGGCATAACACTACACTTGACACTGACTTTATTTGTCTCTGTCTTTCTGCAGCCAACTCACAGCTGCAGGAACAAAAGTTCATATTCAAAAAGTAGCTAGGGAGGTGAACAAATGACACCTGCTTACCACATTCAAACCCAGGTAAAAAATAATTTTAAACATTTAGCATAAAATGCTAAGGAAAGGAGACTTTCTACAGACAACAAACAAAAACAAGCCACCCTCAAAATACTAGCAAAGAGAGAACAAAAGCCTCCAAATACTACTGGTTAGGAAACCAATAAATGGATTGTAAGGCACTGAAAAGATGCTACATACAACCTTTTATATACCTGCAAAAAGCATGACAACAAGCAGGATGAATTTTACAGCAGTTAAGTCCTCCAGACGAAAGCGAAGGATACATACACACCTATCCTGCTGCGACTGTGCCACAGACTACCAAAGACAGAAAGCATTGACTTTAAATCTCTAAAACAAAGAGTATCCAGATGTGCCCACCGCATGCGGTTGTCATAAAGCATAAGCTCTCCGTGAAGGGACGGCCAGCCCCTGGCTTTTAACTCACATGAAAGCTGAATTAGTTCGAATGTGGCTGAGTCACATGAGTGCGAGGGGGCCACAGGGGCAGGAGGGTATTGCACAACCCAAACCCTCAGCTGGCAGAGAAACCAAGTTCACACTGCCTGGTGCTCCTGTTCCTCAAGCTTGGGTCTCTGGGGCCCAGCTGTGCACTGGACCCAGATCCCTTCCCTCTGCAAGGGAGGAATGCTTGATAGGTGGCCACTGCCACTTCCCAGCTGTGAACTTTAAAACAAAACCTAAACACATATTTTTACATTTTTCAGAACAGAGATTGTTGAATTGAAAAGCTTACCTTGTCAAGCTTCAGCTCCAGTTCAGTCACATCTCCTTCTACTTCTTCTAAAGCCGCCCTGCATGGTTAAAAAATGTTTTCCTGTAAAACTTGACACAAAAATACTCTGGCACTGGGTGGAAGGGGCAGGGACACATTAATTTAACCCACTTTTTGCCACCACAATGTCACTTAAATTTCAACTATAATACAGCACAGATTTTACAGAACCACAAGAATTGCAGAGAGTTTGACAATAAAAAGAAGAAAAACTACATCACTGATAAAACATATAGCTTAGTAACAAAGGTTCGAGATGAAATTTTATCACTCCTAATGTTTGTCACACTGAAATAGGTTTTCTCTGTTCTCGTACAGCCAACAGTCTATATGTCTGAAGGTAATAACAAAGGAAAGAAACTAAAAGTCTGAGTGAAATTTAAGTCATTCATTTGGTGACTCTCCTGGCTCACACCTACAGCTATTTAATGAATGACCTTGCAACGAGATTATTAAAAATACAGCATTTGCCACGAGTCAACTAACTTAGCAGTAAGTTCAGACGACACACTTGTTTATATCATTTGCCTCTAGTCTAGACTGGTCACAACTTTCAGGCCAGTCAGATTTTACCTGCCAGTAAGAGTTGCTCTCATGAGGCATTTCTAAAGCTTAAGTATTTTGCTTGAGAGGTGATGTTTCCTTTGACACCACCTTCTTTGCTTACTGCCACCTGAAAAAATAATAGAAGACTGAGGAAGGATGACACTTCGTTCAGAGAGTTCATTAACACTCCTGTTTCATCAGGCTATTGCCTTCAGAGCTTGAATGTACTAATTTCTGCAACGAACATTACACTACAGAAATCTGTCCTCCGAGCCCGCGGTTTCACAGCGCCCGGAGGCTGGCAGGAACAGCTGTATTCCCAGCCCTCGCTCCCATCACGGGGCGCCTCATTCTTGCTGTCATCCCAACACAAATGTTTCCGGAGCCACACTGTTCAGCAGCCCGCCTTGGAAAAAAAGAGTAATTGGAAGTTTTCTGCTACACTTTTTGGAAAATTGGACCAGGTACATCTCACGTTTCACTGCTGCAAAAAACTCTTCCTGGAAAAAGTGAGACAGGCAGGGAAATACGATTTGGAGCAGGAATTTCTTAAGCCAGCTTTACCACTGGGGAGGGAGTAGACAGAACCACAGCTTTACTGTCTCTTGCTAATTCCGTTCTAGTTCACATGAGTTCAAGCCAAGAACAAAAAAAAAAAAAAAGACTGGATCAGGCCCCAAGCTCAGGAAAAGCAGTTTCTGTAAGAACAGTTCTGAAAAACCCTGCCAATTGCCTCCAGTTCTCAAACATTGAGCATGACATTCCCAGCTTTTTGCAGATTTCACTCACACATAGTTGCATTCCAGTTTTTGTATCTAAAGGCATTCCCACAGTTATATCCTAGGTTTTATGTCTAAGCACATTCCTGCGCAGTTACATTTTGGCTTCTACCTCTTCTCTAGCTTCAGAGCGTGAAGGATTTCAGGCAACATCAATTTTTCCTTTTACTTTCTTTATTTTCTTCCATAAATTAACTTTCACTTAAGTCTCTAGAGTTAAATCTTGTTTCAGAGCACATTACAGAGGAAAAAAAAAAAAAACATCACAAAGGAAGGAAAACGTTCTCAATATTTAGACTGCAATTTTGTATTCGTTTGTTTATAATCACAATGTAACCAATTTTTATTTGTTTCTTTGGCATTAACATAAAAGCATGATTAAGTAGTCTGTTTACAGAACTGCAGCAAGATCTGATAACATTTATTTTTTTTAGTGTCTTTAACTAGCCAAGTGTTCTAGCTCCACAGGACTTAATGAGCTAAAAAGTCTAAGATTCAAGATGAAGAAGAGAGATAAAGGCAGTTAGAGGAGGCAGAATGAAGACAACACATCTGCTCAGTAATTAAAGCTCTATTCCAAAGGGAAAATTTTAAGACAGAATAAGCTCAACTGGAAGAGAAGTAACAACACAACATCAAAAGACTGGAAAGATAAGGGGCAGGTCAAGAAAGAACAAGTATAAAGCAGAGCAGAAAGAGGCATCACGGGAGACAGACAGCCACTCCACCACCCGATTCATTGCAGAGCACCTTTGCAGCACCCCAGGCCGGTTCTCTGGGCTGCCTCCCACCACCACACGCAGGGGGGAAAGCGCCACTGGGCCCTACAGCTGGGTATGCACAAACAGCTGTCAGGTTCCAGCCAAACCCCATTTCAACTCTGTGTTACTTCACATAGAACTTGCTACTTTCACTGTTTCTTTCCTATAAAAATGATAGAAAAGTCATTCTCATGCAAACATTCCCAGTATTGGACCAACACTGGATTACAAGCCTAAGAACAACAGAGAGGATGTCCTCCGACTATGAGAATACAGATACATACATCTAATAATGTATTAACACCATCTAGCCACAAAAATTGTTTTCATGGTGGGGTAGGGAACACATGAAGAACAGCTGATCTGAGCTGTGCTATGTTAATGCTATCCTTGTTTTTCTTAATTTAATACTTTTTGAAGCCACAGAATACAAAGGTGAATTTCTCTCTCAAACATCTGTGTCAGGAATTACTTAAAGTTCACAGAAAATTGTCATAATTCTGAGTAAATCTCACGTCTGCAGCCAAGACCAAATCTCCAGCTACAAACAGCGGAAGTGGTGATAAAGCAACAACCGAGGGCCAAGCGCCAGACCTTACATGTACCAAAAACGTTGCTCCTTAGCGACACTGGAGCTGGGAGCAGGGTTTGCGTCAGGGTAATCTTAGCCAGAAGGCTCTGGCATTAGGAATAAGGATCAAATCTGCTTCAGTATATGAATCAAACATCTGTGGCTCCCCAAGATGTTCAAACAGCGCATGGCAACGCACAAAACCAGAACAGCTGCTTCAGGGTGGAGGACAACTTTTGCAAATGAGCGGACTCCCATGCTCTTCATGCTCTGTAACGAGGACTCTCTAGAATGCATTTTGCTCCTCTGCTCCTCCTCTCCTCCACCCTCCCTCCTAAAACACAGCTCAGTTTGCTAGATACAGCTTCCTGCACAGCTGCAGCCACGATGCAGGAGGAATACCAGAGATGATGGAAGAAAACTCAAGACCTGTCTTAGCAGCCTTTTTACAGGAAGATAACACCACCAGTTACCTAGCCCACAGTATAGCCACCAGTTACCATACATCGAAGGAAAGCCGAACTCTCTGGTGTCCATCACAGCACTCCCCTTCAGCAACCAGTGAAAGACTTGCTTCCAGATTCAGTTACTACAGGGCTCCAAGAATCCCAGCAACCAAAAAGTAACTCCCCTCTAGAAAGAGCATCGGTCACTCTTACGCCATGAGCTGCAGACACTTGCTAAGCAAATAACTTCATCTGGACTGAACCACTACACACTGCTGACCGTCATGCCAAGCATACTGTGGCTACAGACAAGTCTCTGCTTGGCCTGTTTACGCTTACAATGTAAAAGGTGGCAATGGTCAATGTTTTTAAAGCCAGCTGTTCTTCAAACGATATGTAACTGCCATTGAAGCCACATCCTGCCTTTACTCTTTCACTTATTCATCATGTTCTAGCCTGCATTTTTAGACTGCGTTCCTGAAATTGAGGAGGCTGGAACCAGTAATCACTGCAAACCCGATGCCGACAAACAATGAATAAGAGAAGTCAAAGGTGCAGTGGTTAATTAACAATTAATTACTGTTAATTCTAGAATTAACGTGCCCCAATATAAAAAAAAAATATTCAAAATAATACATGCCCATTAAGAAAGCATTTTCCCATAGTTTGTTGTTTTGGTTTTTTTTAAATTTAGTTAAGGAAAGTTTGAAGCCTAGATCTTAGTTTCACCTCTTCAATATACTTTCTGAAGAGTAAGAACAAGTACACAAAATCAACTGCTATTCAGACTGAGACTTCTGGATACATTAATGTATTTGGACTCATAAAATGAGAATAACAGATTCTCACCACCACAATTTCAATAATATTACTGCTAAAGTCTTGTTATCAAATCTCAGAAAGACACGGCTCTCCTTCTTGCACACCTTCTTGCACACACTCTACGCAGAATAGCCCCTTAGTGCATAGCATGACACGCCAATTACATGTCCTTTCAACTAACTTCCACTACAGTTCAATAGTATAAAGTTGATGTGCAAGACTAGCCACAAATTATTAATAGCTAAACCAAAGTATTTGAGTACACATATTCAAATATGACTACAGTCACATTTCCCTTCATTTACTGCAGTTAATTCCATAAGACCGGCTGTCTATCAGAGCAGTACATGCAGAAGCACTACCATGCTCCACCGCCAGTGGAGAACAATCCAGCCTCAGAGGGACAGAGGACGTCGAACCCAAACTAAGCAGCAAATGGTACTGTGATTAACTCTCCTTTGTCCTCTTCAGCTGCATTTCATTTTAAACTTTAAAGACGTTAAGAAAACTGAAAAGCAGTTAAAGATATACACAGCTCACTAATTGCAAAGGCCAAAGCTGGATAAAACTAGTTTGTAACTAGCTGAAGTAAAAGCAATTATCATTTAATTCTCATGTTAAACACAAATCCCATACAGACACTAGTAGAGATTAGTTGCAAGCTATCTGTGCATCCCACTGTTCTAGACATGTGTAAAAAAAAAATCAAACTATATCAAAATTACCAAGAACTCATGCTATAACTTTATGTGATACCAGACTTAGGCTTCAACGTGTGCTGTCCAAATTCCGATGAAAAGGCCAGCAAGCTAGTGACTCCTAATCCTTTTGATCCCAATTATCAGACTGAAACAAAACCAGCAATGGAGTTCCTTACGGACCGCTCCTGATAGTGATTGCACTCATCATCCTCAGTGACAGAAGGAAATGGGAGAAAATAAGTCATTAACTTTCTTGTAACAACATGAGATACTTCAAAGTAAGATAACTTCAAAGCACCTTAAAGACAACTTGAAAAAAAAAGTACTCTGGATGTGAAAAACTGGATAAAGGATGAGGTACAGAAGTGCAAGATAAGGATATGCACCCA